ATAATTTATTGTCATTGTAAGTATATACACATACAACGAAATTCACAGACACCCAGAGACCAGACAGATGCACACACATAAAATTCCCCAAACACTCCCCACCCACTCAAATCTATGACTGCAAACCAGTTGCCCTGTTGGAGAAAGGGAATGATGCTGTCCAAGGTAACCATGCAGAACTGCTTAGGTTGAGGTGACGGAGGTCTAGAATAGGCTGTAGCCTGCCATCTTTTTTGGAACTGTGAAATAATGGGAATAAAAACTAGAAGGCCTGTCTGCAGTCTCGATGAGGGTGATAGCTTCTTTCTCTAGTAACGAGGGTACCTCCTCCTTCAAGGTGGGGGAAGGAGCTATGAACCTGAAGAGTCCTGTGGGGGGTAGAGACCAAATTCTATCACATACACAACACTGATTATGGTGAGGACCCAGGTATCCAAGGAGATCCAAGCCCATGTTGTAGGGAAGGTGTGAGACATGTGGTAGTGTGGATGTTACTGAAGGGTGAGGGTGGACCTGGTGAACTGGCAAGTCAAAGCTTATACTTTGTTTTTTTCTCAGATCAGCTGATGGACTGCCGCAAGTGCAGTCTGCTAAAAGAAGAAAGATCTCTGGCGATCCACTGGAGTCTGGCGATCCACTGGAGTCTGTAGGGTTGGTAATGATAAGGCTGGTACCAAGAATTTTGTGGGGGCTGTGAATAATGTTAGATGTTGTATGACTCTGCATTTTCCCCATTGGCCCCAGGTTATTGGATTTCATGAGTTTTCTCGTTGAAAAGGATGACTCAGTCAAAAGGTAACTCTTTGATCCTGGATCATGCATCTTCCAATATGCCTGCCACCCTGAGCCATATATGTCTGTCTAGAGCTATAGCTGTAGCCATCTGTTTAGACACTGCATCCACCACAAGGCATGCCACAATCCTATCCTCATGTGTGAGAACCATAGCCTCTTGTTGGAGAGAGAGGTCTTGAGATCAGTGGTCCTTAGGAACTGCCTGAAGAATCAGAAAGGCTTCATTCCAGAGGTGGGGATGGTAAGCTCCCATCACTGCCATATAGTTGACTACTCTCAAAACAAAGGAGCCCAGGGAATAGACAAGGTGACCAATAAGGTCCAATTTTCTACCTCCACAGTTATTGGAGGCAGAGGCAGTGGTTCCTAGCTTTGAGTAGCATCCACAATAACTGAATTTGGGACATTTGGAGAGAAAGGTGGTGCCACTGCCCTGTGTTTTATAAATGTTCTCAACTCTTTTAAGAATCTGTGGAATGGAAAAGGGTTTCTTCTATAATTCTTTAATAAATTTGAGAAGGAAAGGAATAAAGTCAAGATGGAGTGGAGGTATATGGTCCTGATTAATATCTTCATAGACGTTTTCTGACTTCTTAGTTTGGGGTTGGTCAACAGCAAGGTCGATGACTTTGTCTATACGAAGAATTAGCTGTGAGTAGGATGTAAAGTCCTCTGAAAGGGATGGGCCTCACCAACATCTTCATCATATGTGGGGATGTCAGGAGGAGAATCTTCCAGTGTCTCCGTATTGGAAGCACTAGCATCAGGGGCAGGATAAACTTGGCCTGGATTGGGGGTGGTGGTAAATTTCCTCTGGAGATGGAAGAGAGTTTCTCTGCCCCAATGTTAATGACTGTTGGCAGGCCTTCTCAGGAGACATCTCCATTTGGCGCCATCTGACCTATGTAGGGTTGGTTGTTGAACAGAGTGGTTACCTGCACATTGAGGCTAGGAACGGGATGGTATCAAGTGGCTCCAGTGGTGGCCCTCTGTATGTTGTGCAATCCTCTTGGAATGAAGACTGAACTTGAGAGAGAGTGACCTGAGGTTGGGGGACTAGTGTCAGTGTCGGGACCATATGGTGGGACCGTTTTGGCATTGGGAGAGGTTGATAATCATCTGGGTCAAAGGGAGGAGACCTCTTGTGATGATGATTTTGAGTCAATAACAATGCCGTTAGGATAGCGTGCCAGTCTTCCTCTGAAGGCAGGTCCAGAGGTTCAGTATTGAGGTAGCAATGGTGATACCAAAGAGGAGTTGGAGCAATAGCAGTAAGTGTATTGGTGGCGCCCAGAGTCTGGACAGTGGCGAGGCTTGGGCTCATGTCTGTAGTAAACTTCAGACTCATAGCAGGTTGAGTGGTCATGAAGGTGGACCTGTTAAAGGTGTTGGTAGGAAGGATCCAGGACCATGAAAATCTGGAGTTGAGTATGCATGTCCGTATCATACAGAGGCTGCTCTAAAGTATGGTGGGTCTTAAAAGACCTCTTACAAGGTGGTGATGGTTCGGCATCTCCTGAGGCAGAATCAGAAACATGGCCAGAGACTGAGCATCCTAGAGATCTGGGGCTTGTGTGTGCCGACTGCATCAGTGACCTTATCCGAGGCATTTCCCCAGTCAAGAGACTGAATTGAAGGGATGGCACATTTCCAGACAGGGGAGAGAAGGACATCTTCATCCCCAGACAGCAAGTATAGGCAGACTGTCTCTTGCTGATACTCCTCTGGAATCGAAGAGGGCAAGTTGGTCTTATGCGCAGGCTGAGAAGCTGAAGGGAGTTTGCTCATGGCCAGAAGGCATCTATGATTTCTTTCTTTCTTTTTTTGGGGGGGGGGAGGTGTCAGAGGTGTGAACTACGGTGGTGATTGGGGTGCTTGAGTTTGATTTCAATGTTTACATCAAGGCCTTTGGCTTAGAGGCCAACTTGGACTTTGGTTTAGGTTGCATCAATCTCTGGGTCGGGTGAGAGGATTATCGGCATAGGCAGTGAGTTGCTAACGAGCATTTGAGGTGGTGGGTTGGGCTCCATAGCAGCAATTTAAGCTGGTTTTAGGGATATCTCCCAGAAGAAAGAACGGAGCTGTCAGAGACAGAACTTCAATTCTGGTTTATTTAGATTTTTGCGCGCCTAGCATGAGTTAGTTTGGTGTGCCTCAGAAAGATATCTTATTCTGACAATAAATGCACCACTTGAAAGAGCCTGAAAATAGTGGCCAAAACGGGGCGGATGGGAAAGTAAAGTAAAACTTTTATTCTCTCTCTTTTTTGAGAAACTCACAGAGAATGAGGGAAGGTCTGACTGATGAAATATTTTCTCTTTTTTTTCTTGAAAAAGCAAATTGAGCTGTGTTGCCAAGATGTGACTACAGTGGTAGCAGAAAGGAGCTGAGGCACTCTGTGCCATAGGTGGAACATGGGATGTCCTGGCAAACATGTGTAGAAGCTCTAGAAGATTCAGAGAGCCTCTATGCAGGCGCAGAAGAAACCCATTTGTGTGCATTCATAGACCATGAAAAAGAAGATAACATTTCAACGACTGCAGGAATCCTCTGCCCCCTGCAGAGACTGGATTAGGTCAAATAATTCTCAGATTTAAATGATGACAATTCAATCCATTTACTGCAATGGTCAATGTCAACTTAATTATTTTGTTAGCGAGTCAGTGGCCTGATTGACTGACTGACTGATTTGTCTGTTGATTTGTATATTGTTTATATTTAATTTTTTAATTGTATGTTTTGCTGTACATTGCCCAGAGAATGAACTGCACTACGGGATGGTATATAAGTTGAAAAAATAATTATATACTTACATCAGCTGTGATGTCATTGAATTTTGTTATAAAAGCATGCTTTACAATGTCCACTGCAATTTCTGAGGCAATCACCATACAAACATCTGGAAACAACACCCAAAGATGGTCTGTAATGATAGGAAAAATGTTATGGATACAAATCTAACAAAGAATAAAAAGAAATGACCAAAAAAGGCATTAAAAGCTGCTGGTACCTTTTGCAAATGAATTATTTTTTCAATAATTCCAAAGCTTCCCACAAGATCTTGTGGTCTTCAACATTTGAGCTTCTCAGAGGCTGGAAAGTCCAAGCCTTGAGCAGATTTTTTTTACTACTAATTTGGAACAATGGATATAAAGATCACCTATTGTAAGTGCTACTCCTGTCCTCTGAAGATGCCGGCCACAGAGACTGGCAAAACGTTAGGAATAATAACCTTCAGAACACGGCCCAAGAGCCCAAAAAACCCCACAATAACTATCTTCTAAGTATTTGTCCAAAGTTCACTTTTTATAGATTTTTAAGTATTTGAGCCTACACTTTTTGCATAAGTATATGATTTGGGGATTCATGTATGTGTATGTACATGCCTTCATTTTTACCCCTACCAACTTTAAGACTATCTTTGATATTTTGGGGATTTGCTATTTTTATGTATGGGTCTTAGAAGTGTTATAAATAGGAACTGGTTACTTACCTGTAAACATGGTTCTTTGAGTAGTCCTCTGTGAAGTCACACATATGGGTTGTGTAGCATGCATGTGCAGATCTCCAGAATATTCTAGAGCACGCTTGTCCAACCTGCGGCCCAGATCAGCTCGTAATGCGGCCCAGTGCAATTTTTTATTTTTAAAGAAATTCCAAAATTTCAAGTTATACTGCCGGCACTTGCGGCCGGAATGTGGCCAGGGCACATCACAACAGTAGAGGAGGAGAGAGGGAAGGAAGAAGTGGGAGGGGAGGGGACAGGGGGGCTGCATGACTGTATTGCGCCGTCCCCATCAATAGGTGGACCCTCTCCCGCGGAGTCGAAGCTGGCAGCCTCTGCTGTCTGAGATCGCAGCTGCCGGTAAGCGCGCTTGGAGCGGGGCTGCGGAGGATGGCTAGGGCTGCCCCCCCATGCGGCCCAAACCAAATGTGTGTGCGGCCCAAACCAAATTTTCATCTTCTAATGTGGCCCAGGGAAGGTGAAAGGTTAGACACCCCTGTTCTAGAGCTTAGGAGAAAGACCATTAATCTCCTCCCACTGCCAGAGCACATGCACTGGTGCACAAAAGCCTGACATGCAGTTCCCCATGGCCGCTGCTGCCAGGAGTCAAGATAGCATGGCAGCCAGCAGAGAGGAGGGTGGGTTGTCTGACTTCATGGAGGACCACTCAAAAAAACACATTTACAGGTAAGTAGCCCTTTCCTCTTCTTCATGGCCCCCATAAATCATGGAGTAGTAAGCTCACTCACTCATCTTTCAGAAAGGTGGTTGATGCTGAAATAGCCCTTGTCGAGTGAGCCTTAATGGATTGTGGCAGTGGATGCTTGGGCAACTGTTAGGATAACGAGATAGTAGAAACTGCCCAGTGAAAAAAAGCATTGAGTTGAAAATGGATCCTTTAGCTGGAGTATTGTAACAAACAAACAATCTCAAAGTAGAACGGAACAAAGCAGTCTGGGAACAGTCCAGCATTAGAAAAAACAAAGACAGTCCTACTTTATGATAAAGAAAATAAAAGATCCTACTTTCTTTCAGGAGATGAGATTGTGAAGTACAGCATGTCGTGAGATTGAAGGAGAGTGGGACTTGTAGTCAGAGATTAAAGGACAGTGGGAATTGTTGTCAATGAAGAGGAGATAAAAATGGAGTCTGTCAGGCTTTTAAAATGAATGGAAGACATGGGAATGTAAGAAAGGCAGAGAGGTTGTTTTTCTTAATTTACAGCCAGCCTGGTACAGTGTGAATCCTGATAAGCATACAAGGATGAGGAGGTACAGAGAGCATGAAGACCCAACAAATTCTTTCTTAATTGGAATGGAGATAAACCACCTGCATCTTCATGAGAATTGTGGGCGAAATGGATAGTTATGCCTCTTTGAGATGACTGGTTTATGGTCAAGAAGAAGACAGTTTGGTGAATGTAGATGGACAATGGGTTATGTGGGAGAGATTCGTTGGGAACTACAGTCTGGCTCCTTCCCCTAGTGGAATGGCTTCTCTAAGGAGATGTGTTCCTGACATGCACATTGAAGATTATCTCAGGTTGTGTCTGTGCAGGGCCTCAAGTGCATATAAGATTTCCAAGTCTACAGTTTCTCTTTCCCCAAGGTTTCAGGGAATTCATACTGACAGTGGTATTTTTTGTCAATTAGACTTTCTTTCCTGTGGTCCTGATGATGAAAGGGATTACATGGGAATCTGGGGATTTTGGTGAGAGAAATCGGAAATGATTTATTTCCAGAAAAAACTCACAATAGATGTCATCAGCCTTATATAACACAACAAAGATTTCAGCTACCATGTGTGTAGAACACATACAGACACTGTTGTACTGAGTCAGTGAGTCCCAGCACCAATTAGGATTAGGGAGGAGATGATGCACCAGCATTAAAGCCACCATACAGAATAAAATCAAACTTTCTTTTCTAACACTGAAAGCCCTGAGGTCTGTCTTTCCACATGGAGTCCCAAAGAAGCATAGCAATTTCTTAAGATTTCAGTCTGTAGTCCTGCATATTGTAGATGACAACCAGTAGAGATGGGAACTCAACATAGAGTATATCACAGAAGTGAGTACACCCCTCACATTTAATAAATATTTTAGCATATCTTTTCATGTGACAACACTGAAGGAATGACACTTGGCTACAATGTAAAGTAGTGAGTATACAGCCTGTATAACAATGTAAATATGCTGTCCCCTCAAAATAACACAACACACAGCCATTAATGTCTAAGCCTCTGACAACAAAAATGAGTACACCCCTAAGTGGCAATATCCAAATTGGGCCCAAGTAGCCATTTCCCCTCCCTGGTGTCATGAGACCCATTAGTGTCACAAGTCTCAGGTGTGAAGGAGGAGCAGGTGTTATCGATCTCATTCTCTCAGCGTGGCCACTGGAAGTTCCATATGGCACCTCATGGTAATGAACTATCTGAGGATCTGAAAAAATGAATTGTTGCTCCACATAAAGATGGCCTAGCTATAAGAAGCTTGCCAAAGCTCTGAAACTGAGCTGCAGCACGGTGGCCAAGACCATACAGTGGTTTAACAGGACAGGTTTCACTCAGAGCAGGCGTCGCCATGGTCGACCAAAGAAGTTGAGTGCCCGTGCTCAACATCATATACAGAGGTTGGCTTTGGAAATAGACATATGAGTGCTGCCAGCATTGCTGCAGAGGTTGAAGGGGTGGGGGTGGGGGACAGCTTGTCAGTGTTCAGACCATATGCTGCACATTGCATCAAATAGATCTTCAGGGCTGTCGTCCCAGAAGGAAGCCTTTTCTAAAGATTATGCACAAGAAAGCCCGCATACGGTTTGCTGCAGAAAAGCAGATTAAGGAAATGGATTTCTTGAACCATGTCCTGTGGTCCGGTGAGACCAAGATCAACTTATTTGGTTCAGATGGTGTCAAGCGTGTGTGGTGGCAACCAGGTAAGGAGTACAAAGATGTGTATGTCATGCCTACAGTCAAGCATGGTGGTGGGAGTGTCAAGGTCTGGGGCTGCATGAGTGCTGTTGGCACTGGGAAGCTACAGTTCATTGAGGGAACCATGAATGCCGACATGTACTGTGACATACTGAAGCAGAGCATAATCCCTTCCCTTCGGAGACTGGGCCGCAGGGCAGTATTCCAACATGATAATGACCCCAAACACACCTCCAAAATGACCGCTGCCTTGCTAAAGAAGCTTAGGGTAAAGGTGATGGACTGGTCAAGCATGTCTCCTGAGCATCTGTGGGGCATCCTGAAATGGAAGGTGGAGGTGCGCAAGGTCTCTAACATCCACCAGCTCTATGATGTCATGGAGGAGTGGAAGAGGACTCCAGTGGCAACCTGTGAAGCTCTGGTGAACTCTATGCTTAAGAGGGTTAAGGCAGTCCTGGAAAATAATGGTGGCCACACAAAATATTGACACTTTGTGCCCAATTTGGATATTGTCACTTAGGGGTGTACTCAATTTAGTTGCCAGCGGTTTAGAAATTAATGGTTGTGTGTTATTTTGAGGGGACAGCACACTTACACTGTGATACACAAGCTGTATACTCACTGCTTTACATTGTAGCCAACTGCAATTTCTTCAGTGTTGTCACATGAAAAGTTATGCTAAAATATTAATGAAATGTGAGGGAGTGTACTCACTTCTGTGATATACTGTACATGAAGGGAAGACAGCAATAGGCAAAGTTGTAATTACCCCTTTTCCCAGTTCCTCCAAAGGGCAACAGTAAAGGCACCCAAGCCTGGGCTGAGTTTTGGAAGACTAGTAGGAAGTGACATTTTCAATGGCTTGCAGGAGTGCATTCTAAACAAAATGTGGCTTTTTGTCACCAAGTGGACATAATATACTAATGGACATAAAGTGTGTAATCCTGAATAATTGGCTCATTCAGTTTGTGTCTGAGGACCAGAACAGACACAAAACCAAATAATAACCGTTCTCTGTGTTTGACCTGAATGGTACAGCCAACATAACTTCTTTTTCTATGCTACTTGGCAAGTTCCCTATTGATAAAAATATTGATTTAGTGTATATAAGATGAAGGGTAAAATCTGTAATACTGTGCTAACAATGGGTTCTCTAACAAGACAGTACTTGACACTACCAGGCTCTGGGGAAGATGTTAAAGAAGGATGCATTTTATCCCTTTGTCTGTTCAATCTGTATACAGAACATATCATATGGCAAGCCTGACTAGTGTACAGATGTGTCACCAAGACCAAGATCATCTACACTCTTGTATTTCTGATCACTATGCATGGGTGTGACAGCTGGACAGTTAAGAAAGCTGCCAGGAAAAAAACTGATCCATTTGAAATATGGTGCTGGAGGAGAGCTATACATTGGGGCGCCAAGAAGACAAAGAAGTGGTTCCTAGATCAGGTCATGCCTAAACTATCTCTGGAGGCAAAAACATTGAAATTGAAGTTGTCCTACTTTGGACACAGGTTCCTTTATCTTGCTGTTGACCTGTGGGAATGGTGCCTCTCCCATCACATGTGTCTCACGACAATACATGTAGCAGGGTTCTTTCGAAGACAAAAATATTGGAAAAGGTTGAAAGCAGCAGGAAAAGAGGAAGACCAAATATGAGATGGACTGACTACCTAAAGGAAACCATAGGCTTGAGTTTACAAGAGCTGAGCAGGGAGTTGAAAACGGGAAATTTTGGAGATCACTTATTTTTAGGGTCTCTGTAAGTGGAAGGCGAGTAACAACAGAATCTGGTATGCCATGTTATTCGCGATTCAGTATGTAACACTTTAACCTGCATTAAAGCAGTTCACTCATTAACAAATGGCAATCAAAATGTAATTTGAATTATGTATTGAGAGAACTCAAATAATAAAGATACAGGAATAAAGCAAGAATAATAGTCAAATAATTAATCTGATAATTCACTCCTATAAAGAAACTAGTATGAAAGAATTATTGTTATGCAATCAGGAGTAAATGCAAAGTAATATACTTGATTTCTTCTCTTTTCTATTTCTTCTCTGGAAGCAGACTTTACCTGGATTCCACGAAAATTGTTCCATATTTCTTAGGCAAACTATCAGTAACAGCACATAGTTGGTGAATCTCTCCTTGATATCTAAAAAGAAAAATGTATTTTTAAAAATATTTTTTCTAGACTTACAATATTAAAGAACCACTGGCAAGAACACACTAGTGATTTCTTAAATACTGCCTGAAATCCTGCTGGTGTAACTTTACACTGTGCAACCAGGCTAACATTGTCATACAGTAATGAACATTTTAATTTAATATAATTTAATCTAATCTAAAACTTCCTAACCTCCTCCTTCCAATTCTCAGGCTCCCGACAGATCCCTTTTGCCCTTGGGAAAACCTTGGAAGCCTTGGGACAGGGGGATTTTGTTATATGGGAACATTTCCACCAGATCAACATCATGGTCCTGATCCAACAGCTGGCAGTAATTTTCTGATAGCAAATGCTATCCATTCCCATCCCAAGGCTCTCAAAGGATTCTACAGGGCAAAAGGCAGCCGTAGGAAGCATTGGAACCTGAAAGGGCATGGGGGAATAGGAAGTTTTAAATTAAATCAAAGATTTCCATTGTCTGATGCTGACATCATTTAGGTTATGCACCATAAATGCACAACAGGATTTCAGCCACTGTTTCACAGTGGATGAGGGAGAGAAGAATGCATTACTTAGCCCTGCAAAACAAGTAACAAGTTTATATTGCTGCCAATGGATTCAAAATTGTTCGATTATTTCACTAAATTCATGCTGACATTTGAAATAAGTTGGGTTTGTTTGTCTGTTCCATATAATTCTAAGATTTCTATCTAATTTCATTTCTGCATAGAAAAAAGAACATACTTCATACAATGAAAGCCATGCTCTGTAATATTACACTAAAAGCTGGCTTCATTCAAATATTAGTGCTAACTCTATATGAAGGAAACTGATAAACTAATGATAATCACAAATCTTATGCATGTTTACTCAGAACTGTGTTCAACACGGTTCACTCTAACTGTGATTCTCCAATATTTTCTGAAGTACAACTCAAACGATCCCTTGGTATTGACTATGCTGGCTACAGCTAATGGGAGTTATAAGTCAAAAACATTTCTACCTTGGCCCACTCATATCCTAGAGAGTATATGATATTGCAGCCACAACCTCTTAATAGAGGAATAATGGATTTCTAGTCCTTTACATGTATTTAATGTATGTTGAGGTGACTGCAATTATCAGAGATGAAATATGAAATTAATAGGATCCCATAAGACTGGTTCCCTTGTTCACTGGATCTGTATAAACACCTGTATTTAAAAATAATTTACCAAAAAAAGTTAAGTCTCTGCACCATTTTGAACTACTACAGAACAGTAGTTCTACCTATGTAGAATACTAGATCAAAGAAAGAACTTTACACTACTTACATTATTTACATTATTTATTTATTTATTCAATTTATACCCCACCTATCTGGTCACTGCGACCACTCTAATAGTTTACAGTTAAAAGTGCCTTTATTAAAAAAGAGAATGTTAGCCATCTCTTATTCAGAATTAGTGGACATCAGTCCGCAGAAGTCTGCAGGAATTCTCCATAACCAGACTCCTGAGGTCTTTAATCAAGGAATGAAAATCCTCACAGGTGTTTTGAAGTTCTCAAAATGATAAATTGAGACTCTGGTAGCCATTTCTGTTCTGTGGAGAAGATACCGGCAATGGATGGATGGGACTAACAAGTGATTATGGATCTGTTGTTTTTGAGAGGCTTCCTAATGGGCACATGTACTACACCCATTATCCCTTCCAATTTTCATAACCCTGCCTACTCACTCTCCAAAGGACAAACACAGGTTCCAGAGCCTGGATCCACCAGTTTAAAAACTTGAAATCATTTGTCAGGACTTCCATTTCTTGATTAAAGCCCTCAGAAGTCTGGCTGCAGGAATTTCTGCAAACATCTGGAAGGTATAGTCCACAAATTCCAAAAAACTTATGCTTACAAAATGTACTTAGTGAACAAAGTGACTAGATATATGTAGGATATAAAAATTCAAAAGGTAGCACTCTATTAACCTGAACATGTTTAATAAATGTTGATCTGTAAGCACAGCTCATATGCATCAAATCTACAAAAGGAATTGACATGTTGTTGTTTAGTTGTTAATTCATGTCCAACTCTTCATGACCCCATGGACCAGAGCATGCCAGGCTCTCCTGTCTTCCACTGCCTCCCACAGTTGGGTCAAATTCATGTTGGTAGCTTTGATGACACTGTACTACCATTTCATCCTCTGTCATCCCCTTCTCCTCATGCCTTCACACTTTCCTAACATCAGGGTCTTTTCCAGGGAGTCTTCTCTTCTCATGAGATGGCCAAAGTATTGAAGCCTCAGCTTCTGTATCTGTCCTTCCAGTGAGCACTCGGGGATGATTTCCTTCAAAATGGAGAGGTTTGTTCTCTTTGCAGTCCAGGGGACTCTCAAGAGTCTCCTCCAGCACCACAATTCAAAAGCATCAATTCTTCGGCAATCAGCCTTCTTTATGGTCCAGCTCTCACTTCCATACACTACCAGAAAACCATAGCTTTGACGATGCGGACCTTTGTTGGCAAGGTGATGTCTCTGCTTTTTAAGATGCTGTCGAGGTTTGTCATCGCTTTCCTCCCAAGAAGCAGGCGTCTTTTAATTTCGTGGCTGCTGTCTCCATCTGCAGTGATCATGGAGCCCAGGAAAATAAAATCTGTCACTGCCTCCATATCTTCCCCTTCTATTTCCCAGGAGGTGATGGGACCAGTGGCCATGATCTTAGTTTTTTTGATGTTGAGTTTCAGACC